CTTGAGACCTGCAGTAACTGGAACTGCAGGTTTAAGTTCTGTATCTCTCTCATTCTCTTGTTTTTCTGAGGTGGACTCACTGCTGAAAATGCTGCTTTAGGTGGCAAAACTGGTTTGTGACCAAACTATGGGATGTTTGAGGATGCAACACAGCTTTGCCCAGAACTTTACTGCCCATTCCAGTAAACAGACTTGCCATTTTACTGCTTTCCACATTATGTAGTCATTCATGGTGTTATACAAAAGATTGGTTGTTTTATTTTTTGCTGTTTTATCCTTTGATCTGCCTTCGCACGATGCAAATAGCTGTGCGGTGCCAAGAGCAATACATGGTCCATGGAAAGCCAGCAGCCTCCTGTGCTTGAGGGAAAGTGAAGTCTGGCTGCTGGTCCTGGAGTGTGGACACCGTAGGTGCCAGCACTTCAGGAGTCAAATGTTTTGCAACAGCTGGTATATAAATGAGTGCAGATATCTGTCTAAGTAGAGGAACAGTGGATGGAGCTTAGATTTTTAAAAATTATTCCTCTGTATTTAGGTGAGTTTGGGCTACAAACCCCTTATTTCTCCTGCCCTGAAAGCCGAAGTGGTCACGCAACCACTTTTGCGTCCAGTGCTGGAGTTGCTCTCGGCCATCAGGTGCTTCAGGCTGTTTTGCTGTGGAGGCACTGAGGAACAGGGACCGGGGGCAGCTGCTGGGAGCTGCATTTGGGACGTTTATGCGACACATGCACACTTTTTCCGTCACGCTGCAAGGACAGCATGGGCAGCTCTGTGGTAAGCTCTGAAATGAGTATACAGATTGTATGTAGATTTGTGCCAAAATCTGCCTTGCATCAATGAAGCCCAAGAAGTGGGAACGTGCATGGGGAAACTGGAATGGAGTTACCAGGTACCCCTGGCTTCAGATGAGTTTGCATGAAGATTTAAAATAACGGCTTTTTTCGTAAGTTTGGGCATCTTCAGTCTTGACTTTGTAATTTTGTGCAATAATTCTTTGGTTTGGGATTTTTAAGTCCTTGGGGAATGAGCTCTGGCTTGTGTTTCAGCTGAGCCCAGAGGGCAGGAAAAATGTGGAGTGTATGATTTGTACATTGGATTTTCCCTATCATGTTGTTTTTTCTCTAGAGATTTGGGAGGGAGAGCATTAGGAGCTTGTCACTGTGATCTTTTTTGTCATCCTGCTGATTTCAAAATGTATTCTCTGCATTTCTCTTCAGTCTTTTACCTACAGACTTCAGGGTACCCTGAGGCCAAGGGCAAAGTGAATAAAGCAATTTTGGGTATGGCCCATTCTGGACACGTTTCCTTACAAACAAGTCCTAGACAGATCCCTGCCCCAAGAAGGGTATAGACAAGGGGAAGCACCAAAAGAGGTGACAAAACTGAAATATACTTCAGTGCTTTGGTTGTCTTGCCTTGCTCCAGTGGTTTACAGCAGTCATAGATGCAGCGTATGGCTGCTGTACATCGCTGGGTGGCACAGAGCAGCTGGGGGTGTACCAAGTGAGTCTGCCCTGTATTCATTAGGCAACAGCTGCCTGCTTAATTTCCACTCTAGGGGATCGGAGGGAAGAAGAGGAATAAAATAATGGGCAAAGAAGTGCATGGGGTTGAGTAACCATGCAGAAAGGAAGGACATTGAACAGTGCTGGTCGAGAGCAAAGGCAGATGCTGCAGTTCATTTCTGAAGATACTGCACAGAAATCTTTGGTGTGGAATGACAGATAGTGTCAGTAGCGACAGCCAGAAAAGCAACGGGGGAAAAAAGTCCTGGTTTTTAGCCATTGGAAACTTAAGACCCTCACCTGTTTATAGAGCACAACACAGTACGCCTGAAGCCACGGCTGAAAAAGCAAGTGGGTAATACCAATCGGCAGAGAATTAGAATAAGGAAGTTGAACTGTAGCCAAACCAGGGAAAGCTGGTGGTGGCTGTTTAAATGTTTCTATTTATAAAAAAGTTATTTATAATCACAAACTTTCTACCTTTTTTCCCTTCCCTTGATTTGGCATGCTTTCTTCTTATTGGGGAGCAATTCCCTGCCATAGTCCTTCATCAGAGAGTTTGAGCTTCACATCAGACACTGATAAAAAAGAGTTAAAAAGCGTGTTTTTCTTCTAAAAAGCATTTTATTCCCTTTTCTTTGATGATTTTTGGGGAAAACAGTTGGAGCTAGAAAATAGGCAGAGTTGCATGCCCAAATCATAGAATTCCCTTTCTCCATGCTGGTGAAAACCAGATCTGATCCAGCAAAATTACGAGAGTTATCAACAATCTTCCATCATCCCACTGGTCACCCACTGTGGTCAATTACAGTTTTGAAGCTGGCATATAAGTATCAGATGTTTGGCTATTGCATGTCTTTACTAATCTCCAACCGAAGTAAAACCCTTTGGTGTGACATATCCTATAATATGCTAAGTTTTTGAACAGTGGCACATTTTGCGTTTCATTTGCACTTTTCATCCAGGAACCTAAGAATACGCTCCCCTTGCTAAAGAACAGCGTAATTAATCATCAGGGCTGCCTGCAAGGAAAAGGTCTGGCTGGGGGAACAGTCATAGACAAAGTAGAGGATAAAATGTCTATATCCCACTGCTTTAATCACTTGGAGAAATACCTCCTGCACATATTATGATTTTAAACCATTTGAATCTTATTTGTAAAGGTATCCTAAACCAGTATTTTTCCACACCTAAGGTGTGTTTTCACTGAAAAAGAATTTCTTGACTCATATTCATTTTTTAAGGATGCCATAAAACTGCTTGTGCTCTATTTCTTGTTTTTAGAAATATCTTAGAATATTAGACAAATTACACATCTGTTTTCTGCAGGGAAGACTCTCCCAATTTTGCCTTAATTTCTGTCAATTAAAATTATAAAGAATAATCTAAATAAATGAGAAAGATGTCCAAGTGAGAATACTTACTAAAATATGCAGGCAAGTCTGCATTTTAAATCCAGGTGTTGTATTTCTCGAGGTCTGTACATCCCCAGAATATAAATATCGATCAGTGTGCCAAGTGTTTATGCAAGTCAGCCACTGAGCGATGGCAGGAGAATTTGGAGAGCTTGTTTGATAAGCCGTTGTTGCTTTTTATCCCTTACCTCTCTGCTTTTAATTCTTTCCTCCCTGTTGCTGTGTCAGATGTCCTGCTCCTTCTCTCCAGGGTTCTTCTTGGCGAGTTGTGTTCTTCTCTCATGACCTTCCACACGTGCATACGGTTTTGGTGTGGTTGTTACAGCCCTTGGACTGGAGCCAGGTCTGGGATTATGGCTGCTTCTGCTCCTCTACCTCCAGTGTTCAAACAGGCTGTTAGGGAGTTTGTCCTGGTGTTGCTGTTGCGCGTGGAGGGTGATGCTGGTTCTGGTTGCTGTCTTAGGGCCATGGTGGACAAGACCTTTGGTCCTGGTTTTCCCAATATGTATTGCTGCTTTTTGTTTTGAATGTGCTCACTGAACCTGTATCGTCTCTCTCCTCCCAGGATGGCTGTTTATGGGTCTGTGCTACAAATACAACTTTTAGACTAAACTGTTTGCAGGGAGGAGGTAGATGGGAGGAGGGAATCCAAAGCAATTTGGTGGAGGTAACAAGGTGGCTGAGAAGCATCCCCTCTCAGGTGTCTCATTCCCACCCTGGTCTTGCGATGTTCCAGTGCAGTGATGTTTGTGGGGCTGTTTCATAACTGAAGTAAACAGGGATCAAGCTGGCCAGTCTGCCCAGGACCTCCAATGTTAAACCTACTGGTAGAATTGTTGATCAGTAGAATTAGACGCCATATATTTACTGAGCTGGGAAACTAGATAAGTTCTTCCCCCTGAAGAAGAACACTAAATATGTACCTCTTAACGTATTTTGTAAAGTCTGCTTGGCCTATGAGGGCAGAACCTCCCCCCTGTGCATAACAGGAAGGATTTCCTTTTGTTTTCCTTTTGCTTTACTGTCCTATTTTTTCCATATAATGGAAAAAAAATACATTTCCTACTCTGGCTTCTTTTCAAGGGTAATTGTTGCATATCACATAATCAGAAATAAGATGAAATTTGATCCTCATGAAGAGGTACGATTCCACTGCCTCCAGTGGATCTCCACCTCTGTGTGTCCCAGCAGGACTGGGAAGGTGATGCTGTGGAGCGCATGGCCATAGCTGGCTGTTTATAGACCAGAGGAAGGGAGGAGAACTTGCTCTGCAAGCTGGACTTTCGTGCATCTGTTTGTTACCCAAGAATGGTAATGCAGAATTTGCTCTTGTAAATAAATTCTGTTTTTTAGCATGACAGTGATTTTGATTATTGAATGTGTGCCCTCTATCTATGCCTGAGGGTTTAGATGTCATGGCAGAAAGTGACTTTTGTGCCTGAATGAATGTGTATGTAAATTATTTTATGTCAGTAGCTTTACTTATGTCCTGCCCCACAAAAATTTACAGCTGTAAGGGTTTCTGCATAATGGGCTTTTGAAGCTCAAGCAGTTAAATTGCCAGGAGTTGTATTTACAAAAGAAGTTCAATAAGCCCATTGGTGACACTGTGAGCATCTTGATGCTGTCTGTTATTTTGGCAATTGTGGGTGAAATTCCCCTTACAGGAAAATCCTGTAAATGTGTTGTCTGTCTCATATATTGTTTTAAAGCAAATATTTTAAGAATTCTGTTGCTGAGATCTTGTTTTCGAATAAATATGTATGAGTTTGGAGTAGTTTCTAGGAGTCTTCTTTGGAACCCTCTTGACCTCCTCCTTGTGCAATTCTCTAGGATTTTCTGTAAGAATTATCCCTAGGTGACATAGTAAATGACTTGAGGATATTTAGAAGAGCTAACGAGGGCCAATTCTGAGAGCATGAGTCACCTGTGGCATTGAGTTACAGATGTTGATTGTACTTGAGCTCTGCACACACAAGCTTGTCTTGGAACGTCCACAAAACAATGCGTCGGTGGCAGCAAAGTCATCCATACTGGCTGAAATTACATTGGACTCCTCCTTTCTTTTTATCCACTGTAGGTGTTCTCTGCCTGCCGGACAGCTTGAACCTTCACAAAGACCAGCAAAGGTCAAACAAACCTGGGGAAGTGCAGATGTTCAGCCAGTCGGAGCTAAGGACCATTGAGCAGTCTTTACTTGCTACGCGCGTGGGGAGCATTGCTGAACTCAGTAAGTACGAGGTTGTTGATGATGTTTGGGTTTCTATCCCCAGAGTAAAGCAAAGCTGCTTGCACTGCCTGGTTGTGCAGAGAAGAGACAAGGGAACATGTCTAATGTTGAAGGAGACATTGGGTCAGATCTTATGCTTATGCTCCATGGCCAGTTGGAAAGCTGAAGCCACAGGAGGAAAGAAGTCTCATGCAGTCTCATAGCAATGCCTAGGACTTGTTTGCATACGCTGCTCTCATTTTTAAAGGTGAAAGATGTTTTATTTCATCTTCCCTGTGTTACATTTGAGAGCACCTCACAGCTTGGCCAGACTTGTGAATGTCTGTCATATTGGTGTCCTGTCTCATTTCACTGGGATGCCTGTTTTGAGATGGGCAGACAAAAAGCTGAAGGCTGCAGTAAGTGAAGGAAATACTGTCACAAATTTAAAGCAGGGCTAGTTCCACCTGTGTTACAGAGGATCCTTCACCCTGACTTTCCTTCTCCAGTTCCAGCAGCGGAAAGAACCAAAACTCAAGCCTGCACCAGAAAAATTTGCTCCTGGAAGATAAATTATTTGCTATTAATCAAAACACTTTTTGAGAAATGTGATAATCTACGACATCTGTCAAAATCTGAAAGCTTTGGTTTCAGCACAAGTAAATTGTAGGAGGCAAATGCCGTGTAAATCCTCACGTGACATGGAGATAAAGTTACCAGAAGTGCCTTTTAAAAATTTTTATTTATTAAGAGAAAAGCCTTCCAATCACATGGTTACAGTATGGTTAGAGATAAGAAGCTATGGGTGGGAAAATAGAAACATTCAGATAAAAAAGTGGTTTTTTTTCCTGAGGTCTGTCAGAAATAGTCAAGTATTTTTTTTACTGAGGTCTGTTACGAGATTTTGAGGAGAAATTGAAAAGATTCAAATCTTTGAAGATACAGGCTGCCCAGCTTGTTGTTGTTCTTATTACTGAATTCTGTGTTACCAGCATCATAAAGAACATATATAGGGATCTTATGTTCATTTTCTTGGTGCTTTCTGTAGCAGTGGGAGTCTCCTCTGTAGCTCCATCAGGGCTCAGTTTACGTGCTGTTCATGAGCCATGTGGAGGCACCATGGATGTTTGTCTGCAAGCCACAAAATGAATTTCTGTTTTCAGCTTGCTAATTTTTCTCTGCTCTGGTGAAACAACAACAAGCCAAGAGCACTTACATGCCTTAGCGTGAAGTGTTGCTTCGTCTCTGGAATCAGGTGTTTGGTGTTATTCAAATTAAGTAATTTATGCTTATTTATTTCATGCACATGAAACACACAACAGTACTGTCTGTGTGCCAACTAAATTATGCATGATACAGCTCTGTCTCATGAAGTACATACAGTTGTGTTTTAATAAATGAGTAACTGTGGATATTTCAGAAGGTTTTTTTTTTCCATTTTGGATTTTTTTTAACCTCTGTATGCAACCCAAAAAGCCAGACTCCTTAATCCTCCTCCCCATTTTTTTGTTTTAATTTTGTTTCCAGAAATCTATCATCTCTAAGTAGTCTTACCTCAGATTCAAATGCTTAGTTGATAGGGTTTGCTCTCTGTATGTCTGTTGACTGCAAACACAGGCAAAACACTCTTCAGGGTGGCCAACTCGAAGAAGAGAGCGCATCAGTGGGAGTTAGATGCAGCTGTCAGAGGGAGGTTGGCACCTCCCGCACGCTGGTAGCCCTCCAGAAAGCCCTCTGGACAACCATCGAGGGTACCTCCCCGGCCGCTGCAAGCAGATGCATGTCGGGGAAGAAGCAGGAGGAGCAGTGGTAATTGGCAAAGCTTGCAAGGCTTGATGCTCAGTTGGGTAGAAATCTTTGCTGTGGAGCGGTCCCGGTGCAGAGCTCAAAACTGAGTTGTGAAACGCAGAGGGGAGGCGCAGCATGTTGGTGGGCAAAAACCTGTGAATTTGTCGGGAAAATCGTGAAATGGAAGGAAAATGGAGGGGTGGGGGCTACAAGGGGGTTTGCTCTTTGTTCACTGCTTGTGTATCTGTCTCTGGCACCAGCAGGGGCTGTGACCCGGCGATCACAGCAAAGCTTCTGCCATGGAGGAAGGCTGGGGAATTGGAGGAAGGCTGGGGAATTGGAGGAAGGCTGGGGAATTGCAGCGAGCGTGGGGGCAGAAATGCTGAGCAGTGGGGAGAAGCCAGGCGGTAACACCTGGGGATCAGGGTGCGTTGGTGGGGAGAGAGTGGGTGAAGGAGGATTTATTGTTGCACCGGTGGTGTGAGGGGGTGGAGAGCTTCAGAAGTGGCGTTGTGGAGAGGAAAGAGGATATGGCAAGCTGTGGCATGGAGAAAGTGGTATATGAGGAGAGGGTTAGGTATGTAAAAGCCCCTGTTCTTGAGGGGATGAATAAAGGCGATGAGGGAGAGTCTCTGGATAGGAGGGAATTAGGAGGATAGCACTTGTGAAGAGGAGGAGGAGGGGATGGCAACCAGGACTGAGTGGCAAGGACAGAAGTTTGGCCTGCTGCACCTACAGAATGGGCAGTCCCCCGGCGTGTGTCTGCAGTGGCCCACCAGCTTGCAATATCCCAGGTGCCAGGACTTCATTTCTATTCTCTTCAAAAGAGCGCAAAAAAAAAGTGCAAAGAGTGGCCTTGGAATAAAGCAATTTAATTTTATCTCAGGGAAAAAAAAAAGGCAATTCTAATTGAATGGGATTTCCTATAGTTTATTGACATTAATAATTGAAGTATTGCAAGTACGCAGAATAACTAGAATTAACAAAGGCCCGCATGTGGAGGAAAGGCTTCCCCTGCTCTCGGTTCTGCCCAGCATCCTCGCATGCAGTGGTGTGGCTGGCTGCCAAGCTGCTCGAGGCTTTGACACTGGGAAATCAAATCTGTCCCCTGGAAGATGACAGCTGGCAAACAGGGCCCGTTTATTGCCCAGCACCTGTATTTCAGCTCAGATCTTCTTAGTTTCTTCACAGTCTGTCCCAGGTGGAAAAATAGGTTCACAAGGTGAAAAGCCTTGTGTCTTGTGGTACCTTCACCTTGCCCTACATGTGCTGGCCCTCGTTTGTCTGCTCCCTGTGTTTTTTCGTGTATGTTGTTGGCGTATTAGAAAAGACCGTTTAGGTGAGCTGCGTATCCCTGAGGGGGTAACAGAAGCAAGAGAAGATTGGGGAAAGGTGAGATGGTGGACACGACCATAGAGGGATGGCAGCACCCTCTGGGAACTCTGCAGAGGAGGAGGTTGACCCAGGCTGCCACTGAGATGTCCTCATGGCTGGGCAGATGCAACTGGTTTCACGGATGCTGTTCTGGTCCCCCTCAAGCCCTGCTTGTCCGGTGCTTCTGCTCTCATCTCCTGGGCTTAGCAGGCAGCTGGCACTGGTTGTCGCTGGGATGGGCTTGCCCTGCCTGGCGGCGGTGGGGCACGGTATCGCTGCTGGCCCTAGGGTGCTCTCCCGAAAATGTGAAGATGAGGCGATGTTGCTGACTTAGGGAAAAAAATCAAAGGAAGGTTTCGTCTCCAGGACTTAGGAGGAGAATGTAAATAGAGACCTAATTCTGCAACGCAATTACAGCAGTAATGCGTGATTCCAAGGAAAAGGCTTGAAAAATTAATGTGAAACCTCGTTCATTAAAATATAATGAACATGGTACAAAGTTAAGGAACAACAATAAATCTGGCCTATGTTATATTGGCATTTAGTATTCAGGAATTGTAATTGCCTACTACAGTGTGTTTTAAAATAATGTAATTTCATTTGAAATGCTTATTATATAGAGAACATTGAGAGGAACTGAAGCACAGCAAAAATAATAGGATTTTAAACAGTAGCTTGACAGTATTTCACTGTTTAATCTTAGAGAAAATATTTCACAAGACTTTTTTTTTAATTCTCTTTACAGTTTTTCCTGAAGTTTCCTGTATTTCCAGACAAGGTATAGAGGAGAAGGGGAATAGATATGTTTGGTTTTTTTCCTAGAAAGTTTTGAGGATTCTTCTAGATTTCTAGTTCTTTTCTTTTATTTCCTTCCCCTTCAGACAGGGAAAAATAAGTAAAGTCAATAGAAGAGAGGAATATTAGGGAGAGCTTTGTCTGTTGAAAGATCCCATGATACTGCATTTTGACCTTTGAATATTTTTCCTAACTTCTTTATATGCATGTTTGCAATCCACAAACTGCATAACACTCCAACACACCTATTCATCACCCATCTAAAAATACCGCTACCGCTGCTGGCTTGGAGACCAGCTGCAGAAAGGATGAGGCTCATAACTGGAGGTCGATGGTGTTTTGCTGGATGAAGGAGAATCCTCTGTCTCTTGCGTGTGTATGTACGTGGTGACAAGGAAGAGCGGAGCCTTAGGATGTGCTGGGCACCAATGCTGTCACGAAGAAATATTCCTCCCTCACTGCCTTGGGGTGAAGAATGCAAGGTGTTAGTGTATGGCCGAGCTGGGACAACCACCCCATATTGAGGCACATGTGTAGGGTTGCAGAAGGGTTGTGTCTCGAGCCTCACAGAGGGATAAAAACTGTGGCTTAGCATGTCATCCAAACCATGTCTTCATGCATGGCTTCAGGTTAGAGCAGAAAACTCTTCGGGACTTGCTTTGAGTCCAAAGGTGGCCAGTCAACTATGGCTTTTCTGGGTGAGAAGTTTGCCATCTGGTCCTGTGCAAACCGTGGTGACTGGTGGTGGTGGTATTACCTGGAGTGTTAATCACAACAAGTTGGCATTTTTGTTTTAAACTAGGATAATATGAAGATGCAGATGCAACTTAACACTGCTGATCTCAGAGCTTTTTAGGCTTTGAACGGTGTTTACCTTAGAGCAGTTCCCAGATGTGATGTTCAGGCTGGTATTTCCTCCACGTCACCACTCAGGTCTCAGCAAGGTTTTCCTGTTTGCCATTGGAAAAACGCCACCCTTCCCCATCATACTCTCTTTGCCTCCGCAGTGCTGAATGTATATATTTCCAAAATAACAGATTCTCAGTAGATCTTGGCACACTTTT